CAACTCGTTGGATGTAGGATATGGAGATAACGAACAGTATTCAATCTCAAAGTCCATAAAACAATAGAGAATAGGAGCAGTGAAAACACGGACCTCCAAAACATCAGAGGTGGTATTAGGTACTATGGGGGATTGAGCATCCCCTGCTGACTGATCACACCCGCCGTGTGCTCCTTGTCATGATCAGAAAATAGCGGAAAAATCCGTCGTCATTTCAGTGTATAAATAATGGACAAACAAATAAGTATGAATCAGCATTTGACTCAATGATAAATTGTATTTACTGACGAGGTCTTTGTATCGACAAATGAATTTACGAAATGATGATTTTAACCGAGAATGCTTATATTCTTGTTTCATCAACTTGCTTGTCAATAATTAACCTCGTTTTAGAAATTGTTTGTACGTAGAGCAAGCTCTTGCGAATCGAATCTACTGAGATATATCTACTCTGAATGCAGCTAATGAAGGTATATTGCTGCATAAGTAAAGGAAATTGACGATAGAAAAGTTAAAGTCACAACGTTTATCATATAACTTGGTTTTTAGATTACCATTAACGTCATTTTCAAGTAAAATATCCAAGTATGAAACAGATGTGTCAGACTCTGCGGTATCAGTTATCTCAAGCTCACAAGGATATATCGTATCGACGTAGAAATGGAAATTATCATTGTTAATCGACAATTAACGTCATTGATATATCTAAATGTCGAGTTGAAGGCAACAGCAAGTATTTTCTTCTTTTCACGCCTAAGATTCTGCACAAATTCTGCTTTATATGAATACAAAAATAGGTCTGCTAATAATGGAGCGAAATGTGTACCCATGGGAATTCCAAGAGATTATTGGAATATCTGGTCTCCAAAAACCACATAGATATTGTCAATCAGAAACTCAAGCATCTCTTTGATGTTAACTTCAGAGTACTTGTTTGTGCAATCAGAATGTGTTTTAAGAAAATAGTTTTGTAAGTGGACTTTTACGAGAAGCGCTGACTTTTACGGTTGACTAATTTCTCTTACACTAGGACAGTGTACGGAAGCACTTTTACAATATAATAATTTAGCTTAACATTTAATTTAACGAAAAAATGGGCTATTTCAAAGCACAGATATGTTGTTCTTAACATTTGTCCTTGAAAATGACAATTATATTACCCTCAAACCCAGGCCTTCACATACAAGTGCCCCTAACACAATTACCATTACCACCAGAAAGATTTTTTTTTCATTATCAATGATGTACCTCCGTAGATGTGAATGTTTAAATGTCCAAGTAAACGGTCAACTGTAAAAGTCCGTGCTTTTCGTAAAAGTCCAACGGCCAATGACCAGATAAGTAAATTTACGAGTCCCATTTTTATTAGACGGTGGCTATATATAGCCACACGCTATTGCTGCTGGTCTGGTCTTTAAATAAACAACATGTAAACACACGGGGACCCTAGCGGAGATTTTGGAAAGTTAAAATAATGAATGTAGACTTGTTTCGATGATTGAAAATAAAATGTACATAGATAACAAATATTTATAAGTCATTTCAAGGACATTTTGTTGGTGGACACAAAGCTTTTTTCCTGATATTTGTCGCCTCATGAATATTCATTGAATTACACTGGACTACAACTAACTCGTACGCCAACCGACTCGTATATTCGTATGCAAACTACAGAAGTAAACTCGTACATAATTTTTCCTCACATGTGCGAAAAGCCATATCGTACACACATTGTTTTTGTTTAGAATTACAATTAATGTCAGAATATTTGATGAAAAATATTTGTAGATTATTGTTTCACTTTCCAACTCCGAAATCAAATAATTATAATTGCCAAACAACACACGCACGGCTGTTTCTAAAATACAATTTTGTGGAATTTTAATCAATAAAACTGATGCAGTTTGTAATTTTAATTTAATTAAGTCTTTTGATTGATTTAATTAATTTCTAAAAAAATTTTTACAATGCTATATCAGAAAACGAATACAGTGGACCCTCATTTATCCGGACGCGACCCTCATTTATCCGGACGCTTTGGTTCCCAGTCAATTTGTCCGGATATGTGAAGCATCCGGATATCTGAATCACCAGTTAAACCAGACAAAATTACATTTAAAAATTTCGTTCCGATGAGAAATCGTCCGGATACTGAAGCATCCGGATATCTGGCGTCCGGATATCTGAAGGTCCATTGTACAATATATTTTAAGAGAAAAGAAACAGGATCACGACATCTTAATCAGTTAATAGGGTTGTATGGGGGTATATCTGATGCCATAAAAGTTTATTACCATTCTATTTTTTAAATATAAGACTTTGCCTGATTACCTCTGACTCAAAAACGACTTCATGGATAATAATTTATCACTGCTATAATTACAAAGACAAAGACCGTAATGGACAATAGTTACCCAATGGATCTATTTCATTCCTATTAATAAACTCTATCGTGCCGCTATTAAAATTTACCTTTTAAAAAGTACACTACAAATGTACTCAAATTCATGTGCACGAAATACAACTAGCGAAAGGATTTTCATACGATTTTAGTGGGCTGAATTTAGATCAGTCTAGATTTTCTGCGTATGTTCACTTAAGAAATGAATTTAATTTTGGAAGACTCATGAGGTTATGAACTACGACGCTTCACGCCGGCATATTTTGTGAAGCGCGTTGATAAATATGCCGGCGTGAAGCGTTGCAGTTCATATACCTCATGAATCTTCAAAAATTAAATTCATTTCTTATATTTACATAAGTTATTTTTCTGATTACTTGCCATGAATTTACGCCATTCAATTGTCATTTTTAAAGCAAAACAGTGTACACTATATTTTTTTTGACTATCTATTGTGTCGTCTATTGAAAAAGTTTAAGGCAATTGCTTAATTTTTGGCAGTTTACCAAGCATCCGAAATGGGAAAGTGGTAAACACAATACACGAAAAAATGTCGACGTTCGATGACGTCTATATGCCCTGGAAAGCAGTTCAGTTTTTTCATCTTTAGTGTAGAAGGGAAATGTCGAGGAGCAGATACATATTTGGACTACTGTATGCAGGGTTATTTTCGCCCCGTTTAATTTTCGCCCTCTCACACTTGCAAACAATATTGCCCGTTTTTAATTCCCCCATTCATAGTTTTATTACATAAATCATATGTATTATTTCATTTCACCCCGTTTTAAATTCGCCCAAATGAGGATAGGGCGAAAAGGGGCAAAAATAAAACAAGAGCGAAAATTTCCCTGTATAAAGTATTAAAACACCAGAGATTGGTTCATGTGCCATGGTAGATTGATTATCCCCTCTTGAACAATTACACCCGACGCGCACTGCTTGGCAAGATCTGGAAAAATGAAAAAAAAATAACGTTCAGTGTGCATATACTTGCCTTATTCTTAGTATGAAAAATTCAGTAAGAATTCGACTTAATCATAGACTGTATTTGCTGAACATATAAAGGCATTGTACTGAGCGTAGAACCGGTGAATTATGGAGTTAAAAGAGACTGCTTATATTAAGTGTTTCGTGAACTAGTTCTCAATATTTTGCCGCGTTTTATAAATTTTACCTAGGTCGAGCTTGCTTTTGTGTATTGAATTAACCAAGATATCTATACCTCATGTGCTTGTGACAAGGGTATACGGATGTTTTGCTACATTATAGAAGGAGGGCTGACGATGGAAAATGTTAGTTTTTTATAATTTGATTTAAATTTTGTCGTTAGGTTACGATTAAAGTTTTTTTTTCTGCTTGTATATTAACATATACCACAAATGAAACCGACACTGTGGAATCTTCTGTTCTACGTTTACTGGAATATATTGATGGATTGATTGTATATTGTTTAACGTCCCTCTCAAGAATTTTTCAGTCATATGGAGACGTCCCTCTCAAGAATCTTTCAGTCATATGGAGACGTATGCCGGTGAAGGGCTTCAAATTTTGACCTTTACTCGGCACTCAGGGCCATTGAGCAGCGAGGGATTTTTATCGTGCAAACGCTTGCCGCTGACACAGGGCCTCGGTTTTTAAGATCTCATCCGAAGTACCCGCAACTTTCACTTCAAAGTGCCGAGCGCATGGCGAAGGAACAGTTGCTACCAATTTTATCGACTAAGTCAGTCGCGGCAGAGGTACGAACTCACGACCTCCCGATCACGGAGCGAGCGCTCTAACGACTGTGCTACCGTGAACGGTACCGGAATATATTGAGGCGACATATAGACTATTTCAAATGAATAGTACCTAGTCGATATAACTAAATATCGAGCTGAAGGTGTGATGTTTTGCAAAAATTCCGCTTTATATGAATACGAAAACAGGTCTGTCAATCAGATTAATTATTTCCACATCGTCCTAAATGAAATCAGAATCTTGGAATCTTATCCATGTCATTCTTTTTATCTTTTATGGTGTTATCATAACTTATGCATTTTCTTTCCAAGTGGTTCTTGACAGGGGGTTCTAAAATCTCATGCATGCTAATATGTACTAAAAGTATTTAATTTTATTATTTTCAAGAGGCTACAGTTTATTATTCAATATAATCGAAGTTTCTGATCACCCTTGCATTAAAAAAAATGTTTATTTCTTCCACAACCACTTTTCCTGTTCACTTTGAGTTTGGCATTATGAATTTGAATGCAGGAGTCATGTTCGTCACTCTATGTAATAAGCAATGCTCAATTATAGAATGATAAAATTCGCTTTATTCATGATACATATAGTTACTTCTAACTACGCTTTAATTTGTTTTATAAAGAAAATTGTTTTAATCTGAACACTTTATTTAATAGTTTATAGTATTTTAACCCTTGTTCCTTGCGCACTAACGTCGATCTTTAATGACCGCGAATTTCAAAAGAAAATAACCTAAAAAAAAAAAAAAAAAAATATATAAATATTTAAATTTGGATTTTCAGAAGTTGTATTTTGGTACATGTATACCCTACGTATATATATATATATTTCGAATCTTTTTGTAGGGACAAAAATGGATCAATCAACGGACTTTCTCAATACTGAAATTAGGATAGTTTTAATAGGAAAAACCGGGAGTGGAAAAAGTGCTACAGGAAACACAATCCTTGGATCGAAATCTTTTGAATCAGGCTTATGTGCAAAATCGGTTACAAGCAAATGTGCAAAATATCGAACAGAGAGATTTGGGGTTAAAATCTTGATTGTTGATACGCCTGGCGTATTTGACACAAAGCAAACTAATGCTCAAATTCAAAACGAACTTGTGAAATGTATTACAATTTCATCTCCTGGACCCCATGCCTTTATTTTGGTTCTCCAACTTACACGCTTTACAGAGGAAGAAAAGAACACAGTAAACCATTTTGTAAAGCATTTTGGGGAAGGTGTTTATAAATACTTCATAATCCTTTTTACTAGAAAAGATGATTTGGATGCCGAAGGGAAGACAATAGAAGAACATGTAGAGAACGTCCCAGAAGACCTTCAAAAACTGATTTATAAATGTGACCGAAGAGTAATTGGATTCAACAACAGACTTAAAGGAGAGGAAAAGGACCCTCAAGTAGTTGAACTTTTGGATATGATTTTAGAAAACGTTAAGAAAAATAAGGGGGAGTACTATACAAATGAAATGTATCGCGAAATAGAATTGATTTTGCAAAGAGAAGAGGAGGAAAAACTCCAGAAAGAAAGGCTTGAACTAGAAAAGAAGAGAGCAGAATTAGAAAAAGAAATGGAAGGAAGATATTCTTCATTGCTAGTAATTGAAAACCAAAAAATACAGGAAACACAATCAAGGCTTTTGCATCTAAAGAGCAAATCCAAACATGATGAGGCTGAAACAGACAGACTAAGAGAAGAAATTAAATCTTTAGAAAAGGAAATCATGGAAGCTGAAGGGGATGAAAAGGAAAGAATTGTGCAACAAATAGCGGATATGCAGAAAGAACTGGATACTTACAAGATTTCTGCAGAAAAGGATTCCAAAGAAATCGAAGAATTAAGCAGAATTTTGGATGATGGAGAAAAACGTCGAGATCAGCTGAATAAAAAGTTGGAGGAAGAAAGAAAAAGGTTAGAAAAAGAAGAGAAGGAAAAGGAATTAAGATGGAGAGAGAAATATCGACAAGATCTCAGAGATGAGGCAGAGAAAAACAAAGGTATCATAGTACGAACGGGAGAAGCAATCTATGGTTTTTTCCGAAATCTGGTCCCCTGGTAATATGGAATGCTAAAAAATCAATTAGATACTGAAAGTAAACTAGAAAATGGTTTGAATAAAAGAAACTTTGATATCAAACCAGGTTTCATATGTGAAGAAAAAAAAGCGAATTCTGTATTGTTTTTTTTTCAAAATGTTTACTATACTTCTCATTATAATAACAAATAAAGTGTTTTTTACTATTGGCTTGGCTGTTTTTGTGTCATGTGATTAGGAAGAATTGTGTCATTTGACTAGTCTACGCAGCACAGTTCAGGTTACAGTAAGGATGTGGGGCCTAATTTATATGGGAAATGTTTACTTTGACGTCACACAAAATATAAGGTCTTCAAAATACCACAAAATGAAATTATTTGCTATTTCAAACTACTGGATAGTTGTAGACTACATAAACACTTACAGCAGGGGGACAAAAGTGTTGAGAAAAAATGGCGTCACGTTTCCAACAGAAGAGCGACAACTCGTGCGGAAAACCGTCTTGACAGCTGACTTACTAGGGCATAATCACAAAATAACTTAACTAAATACTAAGTACATGTAAGATGACCTTTTAATCTGATATCTTGTTGTACCGTATAAGTAGAATTTTTAGCGAGGATTTAATTTTGTCATTATTAGCGAGGGTCATGAGATCGCTAACATTAAATACCGCTAAATATTTATTGCACTTTATTTGTAATACCTGCTTTAGTGAGCATTTTAAAATCGCTAAAATTACCTCTCGCTAAAAATAAATTACCAATTTTTAAGGAGAAATCGCTAAATTTGCGTCTCGCTAAAATTTCCACTTATACGGTATTATTCTTGGAATCGATTGATAAAGATTTTTGAAATAATTTACGTTGATATCTTGCCATATATTAAGTATTTGTTTAAAAAGTTCGTCTGCGGATCCGTGATTGGAGTTTTCTTTTAATATAAAGGCCATACATTTTCTATGATATATGTCGAGAGACTGTGCAGGCCAGCTCATGTTTCAATATGGTTTCTGGCAAAAAAAATTCAGTGTAACACGAGAGCGATGTACGGGGGCGTTATCATCTTTTAATTTTTCTGAATTAATGTTCCCTTCTACCCGAGGCACGGTCACCTCCACACCATGAGACTGCATTAGCGGCCATTTTGTCGTGGCAATAAGCCCGGTCTCCAACCCTTGCCTGCTTATCTCCAAATATAAATACAATTATTTTCCCAGACACATATCTGAGATTCATCGCTGAATATAACTTTGGACCACTAAGTTTGTGTACCCACTATCTCTTCTCCCTACACAATGACACGCGTTTCTTCCGGTTTACATTTTTAATCACAACTTTTTTCTTATACACACCTGTAGTGAAACCATTTTCTTTCAGTTTACGTTTGACAGTCTTCTGAGACATAGACGTTGCTCTGTTTTCATTAAATCTTGCAGTTATTTCTCTTACGGGTGCTCTCCGATCTCTACTAATAATCCTCTAGTGCCTCCGATAGTTCCGATCGTCGATAGAACGAGGTCGACCCAATCTTTCCAAATTTTCCACTGATCCTGTGTTTTGTCTTGATATTTACGTACAATACGGTACACTGAAGCCAGGGACCTATTGACACTTCTTTAAATCGCTGACATTTTTTCTCCGTTTAAGTGCGTGTCTACGAGAAAACCATGCAGAATGCTCTAAAAGCAAGGTTTTCAAAATTTCTTGAAACTTTGCATACTAAGTGAGATCAAGGTCCCTTACTTACTGCACAAGTTTGGTGGCGCCATTTCATTAGTTACCTTGGATACAGGGGTAATTAATTTTTTGGCGGGAAATCTCTATACTCACCATTGAAAAATACCACCTTTTGTACATATTCTGTTAGTGTATGAAAAATCTCCACAACAACTTCGAAATAAATAGATTTAAGGAATAAAAACCTTTTTTAAAAGATATTTTACACATTTATTTCGAATACCTGTTTGAATGTGAAGAGCTACAAGTGCAAAAAGGTCACGATAATTGTGAGGAATGGCGATTTTTGAATGGTCTGCAGAAAAACAGCTATAAAATTCCAAGAAACGCTTCAATTGATTTCATTTTTTCAAAAAGTGATTGTTTTTAGATATTTTATTTAGTATTAAAGGGATTTTGGTTGCAAATTTAAATCAATGGAGTTATCACTCTTGTAAGTGCAGAATTTTGAGTGCAAAAAGGTCAACATAATTCTAAAGGATATTCTGAAGAAAAACAGGTAAATAATTTCAAGAAACACTTCAGTGATTATATTTTTTATCAAGAATTATTTGTTTTAAGATATTTTAGTAAAAAAATAACAGGCAATTTGGAGACACATTTGAAATAGTGGATTTCTCACCCTAGCAAAATTGACCTATTTCTATGTAGAAAGCCATCCAGGACTACTACAGGAGTGTTTACATTTTTAACATTACTTCAATTCAGACACATTACCTTCAATCCCCATGACTAAAATCAGTTCAAGTTTATCCAGAACATCCCACATATGCATAATTTGATTTTGTTTACACAGAAGTCTCTGTCAAGACTGTAGCTCTACTGTTTTGTATTTATATAAAATAATGATAATAAAGGAAGAGATAAGTAACAGTTGGATTTGAACTTTATAATTTGCAAC